ACATTGGAAGAAAAGTTAAAGAGAAAATTGCAGAAGGAAATTTACAATACCATCATCAACACTACTCTTTTATTAACCCTCAATTAACTCCACCTCTATATCCAACAAATGTTGAGAAAACCAAGATCCAAACATTTTCGAGAATTCGCCTTGGTCATACAATTGCAACTCACCAATGGATCCTGAAGAAGTCTTCTCCCCCAATCTGCTGTTGTGGACAAACTCTTACTATAAAGCACATTCTCTGCGACTGCCTCAACTTTTCCTTGGCTAGAAGTATTGCATTTGGAACGATTAACCCTTTGAACATTCTACAATCAGCTTCAGAACAGAATATCAATTCTATATATTACTTTTTTAATACTACTAAGTTCACTATCTAATATCCATTTATTTAAATTAGAGCCGATAGCCTGTGTTGCTAGTGCTCAATGTCCTTTTTTTAGTCTAAGAATTCATTTCAGTCTAAAATTAAAATAATAATAATAATAATACAACCATCAATGATGCATACATGCGTGTATATGTGTATTTTTATATGTATACGTTGCTAAAATGTAATACTTTTGTGATAACACAATTTTGCATACCTATACATACATCTACGCGATCTACGTTTGAAGCGAAGGTAGCATAAGAAAAATAGTCACTTGTTTAGCTAGCAAGTTAGCGTCCCTTCCAGTACAAACTACAGTGTTCTTGTAGGGATAATATAATATTTTGGGGAAAAAAAAGAGGGGGAAATTTTTAAATAAAAACTGCGCACTAATGTGAAAGCTTGTAGAAGCTTAATAACCCTGCTATTGGAAAAAACATATGGTTATTGTTTTCAATTTTTCCGAAAATGGCAGCGAATTTTTGCAAAAGATTTTTAGCTGCAAAAAGTTTAATTAATGTAAATAGAAATCTTAAAAATGTGCAACGTAATTACGGTTACAAAAACAACACAACGCATCAACCATCAAAAACTTATGGAAAATATTTATGGATTATTGACGGCGGTGCGACTGCGATCATTTGCATAAATTTATTCAAATGCGGGACCAATTCAGTGAAAGCATTTAATATGAGACACTCAAAGGTGAATACTTTTCCACATAGAATAAACTTATATACAAGCTCCTGTCAAAGGCTGCCGTACAAAACTGATGTTAATGACATGTAGAATAATTGACGTCAAATTTCTATAAAATCCATTTATATAAAATCCTATTTCCAAAAGCCGTTCTATGAATAACTGTATTAAGCGAAGTCGTGCAAGGTATTTAATAGTGAGCCATATCTCACTGTATTAATCTTTTTTTCAAATTTATTGCAGTATGATGAAGATTCAACAATAAGCAAATTAATAGCACGTGAAAGATGTTTTATCAAGTTTGCGTCCAGTGAATATGACGGGCAATTATACATGACACCACAAGATTTTTTTTTTAGAATCAGTTGTCTAACAAGAACCCAGACGTAAATATATTAATGAACACACCAAGCAACTTTCTGCTTAATTCCAAATAAATTTTTTGTTTTATAAAATGAAGCTTGCTTGAAACGTCGCATACTAACTGAACGTGATATAAATTCAATGCGTGATGAAACTCCACCGTTGAAGAAAGGTTCAAATCAATTGTCTAGAAAATTAAAGGATCGAGGTAGCTTCATATACACATAAAGTTGAATTTAGTGTTTTGGAAAAAAAATCTCGTCTTTTTCTTTTAGGCATTATTTCCTATACCGAGTATTCGTTTTTATTATCAATTTTAACAGGTAAGTGAAGCATATATCGGAATTAACGTTCGTATGTATTAAAAACTCTGTGGAGAATGTTTAAAACACCATAAAAAGAATTAGAAACTATTTAATTTTTCTTCCACTCCTAAACAATTAGTTAGAATAACAGGTGCCTTTCCTTGATTTGCTTGACTACTCTATACCAGCATTTCAGGTTGTCTGTCTGAAGTTACAAATGCAGTTCACAAGAAAACAGTGAACAGTGGAAGTTTGATTTCAATTTTTGATTCTAATTTTTAATTTCATCTTGTCATCTCCAATGTTAACCAATTTCAATACTTATATATATATATATACAGCTCCTTAGCTGCGAGGTATTTCAATGTGTACAAAAATCATCCAGGTTATGGTTTACTATTTTTTTATGATCCCCTTAAGATTTCTAAATTACAACTTGGAATAGAAATGTTAACGCCTTTCAAAGCTATGTGTCTGTTCTCTTTTTAATAACCGAACCTGCTAAGTTTGTCTGATGAGAAAGCTTTCTATTTCATGAATATTTACAAAGAATCTAGAACTAATACCATATACTTAGTAGTAGGGACTCGCAAGTAAAGTAAAGAGTTGGAGCTATATCGATAAGAGGCATACGATGCGCTCTGCAATTGTCTTATTTTGACAAACAACCCAGCCGAGAATCAATTAAAGTAATTTTGAAAGTAGATGATTTTTTTTGTTTGCTATAGGGTTGAGTAGATTGATGGATGGGGGGGTGAATGGCCCTCTCAGAATAAATTGTTTATTTTTCCCAACGCGAAATATATATAACGATAATAGTATCGCGCAAATGTAATGGTACAGAGTCAAGACGAATTCAACTTATGTTACAAATAAATCTATTTCCTCGCGTGATAGATTCAATTAGTTGCTTTAGTGCAAGGTGGCTTCGCTACACAAAGTGGCGCCTGGCATCAGGTCAACTTTATTTCGGTGGATTTTACCGAAGGAACGGGAGGATTTGCTAGATTTCCTTTTTAGTAATAGCATTGGGTAATGTTTACAAAAAAAATATAAAAAAAGGTAATAATGATAATAATAAATAGCAATATAAAGCGT